GAAATAAAGAGCAAAAGAAAGTACAACTAACAATGAAAGGTGAAAAAAGAAAAGAAGTAACAGAGCATCAAGATAGAAACAAAGTACTAAAAACAAAATTCCAATCCGAACTGAAACAAAATGTTCCTCCCAAAATAATCCCAAGACTTGTAGTCTTCCAAAATCTACCCGTGTTTGGGATTTGGTCCTCATGAGATGTGATCATTGATTCTTATTCATGTATATCTTAATTTGAGTGTTCAAATTTTTTGCAGGCGAGCCGTTTTTCCTCGTGACCAACCTAGCTTTGTTACAAATATCTAGATTTATATTGGAGTCTCATAAATCCTTCAATGATGATATACGAGTCTCATAAATTCATCACCCGGATGTGAAAAGAACTGCTCGTCAAAGACACCTGCACCATCAAATCTTCAGAAAAATGATTACCGTATGATAAGTCCGTATTTTGACACGCATTTGATGTGTGTTGAGATCGGATTTTGATGGTTTTCCTAGCTTAAAGGTGTCCTAAGTCTCATTATTAGCTCAAAGTTATATTTTACCGGGCGTTGGTTCATGTTTGTTATTTTTGGAGTCAAAAATCAGGGAATTAAGCCCGACACCGACATTTGAGAAGTAATCAAGAGAGTTGAAACATATTTTAGAGTTGATTAAGAGAATTGAAGGTCAATGAGGTGTTAAAGATGAAGTTTTGAAGACAAAAGAGCTCTAGAATTGGCTACAGGATCAAAAGAAGGTGAATAAAGCTTGAAAACAACGATCAAGGTGACGTTCTGTCAATCATTCAAGTATATGTAACACCGTCCCCAAATATATTTACCTTTATGTAAATTATATATTGAACATGACGTATCTAGTAATGAATTTACAAGGTTGTAAATTTTTGTTATTTATTTTGCGTGAATAGTAAATTCCACGTGGGGCCCACACTCGGAGCGGGAGTAACCCGATAACACGATACCACATGTTATATTCATCTTGGTCTAGATAATAGTTACATGGTGGTGGACATTCATAATGGGCCATGAGAAAGGCGTTGGGTTGACCGGTTTGGCAAATAGGGCCCAATTACCGGTATTGGTAATTTAACAGGTAACAGCCCGAAATGAATTTCGGGGGCTTATAAATTAAAGTTGGGGAATGTATATTCATTATGAGGGTCATAATGATTGAAAACACATAATATACTTTATTTGACCCAATCAAATAAAATATATTTAAAACAGTCCAAAAAATACAACTTTCGGGGTCGACTGTACACACCGGGACACAAAGGGATGACCTCCCACATGTGTGGGGGCCACCCCACGAAATTATTAGCTCAAATTGTCAAAGAGGAGCCGCACCACATGGTTGTGAGGCAATAGGAGGGCTGAAGTTGATGGTTGGTGTGAAAGAAACATGAGTGGGCTCTCTCCTCCTCATTATTTTGCAAGAAAGACAAAAGAGGAAAAGTCTCCTCCTTACACCCCCTACCCATCTCGGCCAAACCCATTCAAGAGAGAGAGAGATGCAAAACACCTATCACCACATCCAAAAACGAGCTCAAGCAAAGGGAGAGCCAATGAGGTGTTTGGAGGAAGAAAAAGGTGAAGAAAAGTGTGAAAGATTAAGGTAATGACCTTATATTAACTTTTCCTTTATTTTCCTTCCATCATATGAGCTACATATTATATGGAGACCCTTGAGGATTGTTCTACATGACTTAAGTGTAGAATGATGGGTTGGAAGGTAGTTCTAAGCCCAAAAATGGACTTAGGAGCTAAACCGACAAGTTCACCGGAAAATAACCTTTTAGAGGTTATTTGTATTGATATGGGTTTTGTGATGATAAAACCTTGTTAGGCACTTTTCAAAGGTGATTTAAGAGCTTTCACGAAGTTTAAAGATTCGCCAGAGTTATCGCCGGAGTTCGTCAAAGTTCGCCGGAGTTTGGCCAGAGTTCAACCGAGAAGGGTAGAACTTCATCACGCTCATTTGAGGTGAGTGGACGGCTTAATGTCTTATAACTCTTGGGTTAAGTATGAGATTACCTAAATAAATGTTATAAGTATTCATAATGATGTTTAAAAGAGTTTAAGCATGTGATTAGCCAAGGTGATTAGGCTTATGTGAATGAAACTACATGATTATGCATGTGGGAAGTAGAAAATGTATATAAAAACATATATGATGTTTTGGATGACCAAAATGGCATTTATTGGTTGTTTTAGACATAATATAGGTTGTATAAAAATTTCGGATCAAACGGATCACGTTTCGGGGGTCAACTCGGGGGTCAACGGGCCGTTGACCCAAAAGTCCGAACATACCCGGCGCCGGGTATAGGGCATACCCGGGGCCGGGTAAGCTGCTGCCTCCATATTACGTTTTCGCCGAAAACGCGAATCGGAGCCCGGTTCGAAGGGGGGTTGATCCCGTACAACCTATGTGTGTATATTGTGCATGGAATTGCATGGAATATGATATTTAAATGTCAAGGTTGATATTTATTGATTTAATTCTAAGTCTTGGTTTAGTCTTTAGTAATAATATGATATAGACCCTATCTAGCGTGATATGTGGTAAGTCATAGGTCGGGTGGAGTACCCAGGGATCGGGCGTGTATCCTCAAAACTCAGTTATAGGGTGGAGTACCCAAGGATCGGGCGGTTATCCTCAAAACTCGGTTAAATAGGGTGGAGTACCCAAGGATCGGGCGGTTATCCTCAAAACTCGGTTATATAGGGTGGAGTACCCAAGGATCGGGCGGTTATCCTCAAAACTCGGTTATAGGGTGGGGTACCCAAGGATCGGGCGTGTATCCTCAAAACTCACAGATTACATTTAATAATCTGGGACCGGGTGGTGTCCCTATGGTAATTTACTTGAACAAGGAGGAGTTCTATACACTCACAGGTATATGGGTGGGTTGGGATTTAAGTCAAGGACATTGGCTTCTATTATTTCCCCAAAAGTCGGGTATTTCCAAGTGTATATATACTAATATGTATTTCAAAACTTGGGGGAAGGATTATACGTATATGTATAACCCTATGTTTGGGTCTTATACTTGAAACGTTAGTTATTCTACATTTAGCTTGCTACTCGCTCGGTACTTGTACTGACCCCTTCGGGGGGGCCCACCATTTCAGGTTGAAGCTCAAGTTGCTATCCTCACCTTGCTCGGTGAAGTGATCCAAAGGGAGACGTGGTTCGTGCTTCCTTTATTGTTTTCAAACTATAAACTATGCTCATGGATATTTTGTAATAAATGCATTTGTTTTGGGCCTGCGTGCCTACGTTTTGGCCATGTGTGGCTCACGATTGAATATTGAATATTTCCGCTATTCGTTCAATCCTAATATGTGATGTTGTTATGTATGTTTACTTACTGAGTATGGTATGGACTATATTCATGGACGCCTTGTTTGACTAAGTTACGTTGACTCGCGGGTGACGTCATTTAGTCATACGGCGGTTGTACACGCGCTCAGATGCGGTCTGGGGCGTGACAGTATATGTTTTTTAGAAACATCCAACGTACACGATTCAAGTTCCATATGAAATCCAACTTCATGGGCTACAAATCATATGAATACACCATTACGAGAATATGAGAGGAACAAGGGGCAAACAGACGAGGAAGTCATATGATCGTTGTTGAGATTTCGGGATGAGACCTTCCATTATTTTATTCATATCTTTTGATTGAATGATTTAAATCCAGTTTTGCAAGTTGCGGTGGATGGACAACTTCATTATCTACGACTCTCATGAAGGAATCATTGTCAAAATCGGAAACTAAAGGCGCACTCCGTGCGCCCAAAGTCGGGCACGCCGTGCCCCCTGAAGGAAACAACGAAGACCTTGTGCCGGTCAGGCACGCCTTGCGTGCCAGGGAGGCACGCCATGCCAAACCCCGGGATGCGTGTTTTTTGCTCTGGACACACTGGGACACGCATGTCGTGCGTAGGAGCCGTGCGTGCGCTCCTACTGTCCTTTCTCGATCAGAATTGCTTTGTTTTTTCTATTTAAACAGTCTGTAAATCCCCCTTTTCAAGGTGACAGAATTTAGAGAGAGACCCGGGGACGAATTTATACGTGCTTTTTCACTTTGTTCTTCAAGACCCTGAGATTATTTGTAAGTTTCTACTTTTTTAATTAATGACTATTAATTCTTTTCATTCCAATTCTATTGATTCTTCAATTATGAATTGTGAGTAGTTTTAATTAGGGATTTGAGATTGATGAAGGGGTTAATCATAATGTATAACTAATTTCATGATGGATTAATTACATGAATATTTATTTAATTTGTGTATGAATGATTTAATTGATATCTCTTGTAACCAAGAACGACCGATAGAATTACAATTGTATGTAAAATGAATTAAGAGAGATCTAATTTATTCTAGGACACCTTCACACACACTTAATCATTCGCTAAGAGATTAGTAACGATTTAAGGGCCGTACACTCGCTCATCATGCATGGCAATAATTTTAGATATCTGTCGCATGAGAGATCAGTCTGATTCCCTAAATTATTGCACTCTACGCCGCGAGAGCGGTTAGAACTTAGTATAGATTGACGTTGCTCAATTAAATAATTTTCATGTGGTTAAGCCCGATCAACCAGAAATCGGATTACCCCGGAATCAATCTCTATTCCCTTCCGTCATTAATTAGAAAGAACTCATTAGTTTAGTTTCTTTATTCGCATTTTAATTTCCCAAAAATTCAAATCTCGCACTATTGCATTTATTTTATTTCTTTTTATCGCTGAATTTATTTAATTTTTAATTCCCCTTTTTCCGTCCCCGTGGAGACGATGCTCATACTTATACCCTATGCTGCTACATATTTTTGTTAGCATTTGATATATTAGCCTTTTGTATTGTTGTTTCCTTTCCTTTTGTTTGCTTATGTTTGTCCCACACCGTAAGTGTTTACTCCCTCCCCCTCTTTCCTTATCTATAAATAGAGCCTTTGGCCTCCAAATAATGTAAGCTTCCATTTTATGATATAATATTTATTCTATTAAATATTATCCATGTATGATTATATATAATCTAACATGGTATCGGAGCTAGTCAAAATTTTGAACTCGAACGCGGATCCAACTTCATCGCTTTACATGCTCTCCAGTGTTTTCCTCGTTGCTATTCAGGTTTTTCGCTGCTTCCGCTTCTCTTGTATTTTTGCTTAATTATTGTGTGCAATGGCGGGTGGTGATGACTCGTTGCAGTCAATTGGTGTTCGTCTTGATGGGAAGAATTTTGGGTATTGGAGTTATGTCATGATAAATTTCTTGAAGGGTAAGGGGCTATGGGATTACGTTTGTGGAAAAAGTATGTGCCCAAAGTCAGGAGACGAAAAATTTGATGAACTGTTTCGTATTTGGGAGACTAATAATTCCAAGATTATTACTTGGATTAATAACTCCGTTGAACAGAGAATTGGGGTGCAACTAGCGAAATTCAAAGCTGCAAAAGATATTTGGGATTACTTGTCTAAACTGTTTGTGCAAAACAATTTTGCGGTTAAATATCAGTTGCAGTCTGAAATTCGTGCTTTAGTACAAAATGATTTGGGGATCCAGGATTATTTTTGTGCAATGACAGCTCTTTGGGATCAATTAACATTGACAGAATCTATTGAGTTAAGCTTGTGATGCTTATATCAAGTGTAGGGATGAAGATCGTCTTGTCCAACTACTTATGGGTCTTCGTCTAGAATTTGATAACTGTCGTTCGGGATTATTGCACCGTAAACCGCTGCCATCTGTTGAAGATGTGGTAAATGAACTCATGGCCGAAGAAACTTGTTTGAAGACTTTAAAGGGAGCACATCCTGCTTCCACATCTGTCTTGGCAGTTCCTCCTTCTGCCCAGTCCTTGCAGCTCCTATTTATCAGTACAAAACTTCCTCTGTTGGTAATTGTAACTACTGCAAACAGCCAGGGCATTAGAAAAATCAATGCCTGGAACTACGGAAGGGGTCTAGTTGGAAGCCTCCACAGTCGGGGAAAGGTTACAAGCCTCCACAACCATGGTGGGCACACAAGGATATAGACCTACAACTCAGTACCATGGTGGGCAGCAGAAACACTACCCACACCCACCTACTCAAGCAGCCTTGGTTCCATCCTTGAATCAGTCTGGTTCTGAAGTTATTGGGAACTCAAGTCCAAATTTTTTGGCTGACCAGTTCCAGCAGTTCCTTGCCTTCCAGCAATATCAGAATTCTACTCAGTCTCATGCTCTCTCAGTTCCTTGCCCCCCCCCATCACTCACTGACTCAGGTATCACTCCTTCTTCTTGGATATTAGACTCTGGAGCGGGAAATCACATGTCCCCTAACCCATCTGATTCCATATCTATGTCTGGTAATCCCCCATCCACCACAGTTGTGACTGCCGATGGCACACCTATGCCATTAACTGGCATTGGGACAGTTCGTACTCCCACTATATCTCTATCTGATGTTTATTGTTTTCCTAAATTGCTTATGAATCTTGCTTCTGCTGGTCAAGTATGTGATTCTAGATGTTTTGTTGGGCTATTTCCCGATTCTTGTCATGTGCAGGATCTAAAATCCAAGAGAGTGATTGGGACAGGGCATAGGAAGGGGAAAGGTCTCTATGTTTTGGATGAGCTGCATCTTAGTACTCATGCAGCAACTATGCCTGTCAAATTGTCTACTTTTCATTTGACTGCTTCGTCTTCTAAATTTTGTTTGTGGCATTCTCGACTTGGACATGTACCGGGCTCTCGCCTGCGTTTTATGTGTACTTCTGGTCTCCTTGGTGATTTACCTTCTGATGATATATCTGATTGTAGTGATTGTAAACTTGGAAAATTCTCTGCTTTGCCTTTTAATATGAGTACTTCCACATCCTCTGCACCGTTTGATTTAGTTCATTCCGATGTTTGGGGTCTGGCCCCTGTTCCTACTAAGGGCGGCTCCAAATATTATGTTTCCTTTATTGATGATTACACTCGTTATTGTTGGGTTTACTTACTAAAGCGTCGTTCTGATCTTATTCATACTCATGCTGAGTTTCAAGCTTATGTGAAACTCAACACTCTACCACCATTAAATGTTTTCATGTTGATTTAGGTGGTGAGTATACTAGTGGTGATCTTTCTGGAATTTTCAAAGCTGATGGTACAATACAACATCAATCTTCTTATACTCATACTCCACAACAAAATGGGGTAGCTGAGCGAAAACATAGACATATTGTGGAAACTGCCAGGCCTATGATCTTGTCAGCTAGTGTTCCTAGTGAATTTTGGGGGGAAGTTGTACTCACGGCTGTTTATCTTATTAATAGAATTCCAACTTCACATAATTCTGGAATTTCTCCCTATGCTAGGCTTTTTGGTCAAAATCCACTGTATTCTCATTTGAGGGTGTTTGGCTCTATTTGTTTTGTCCTTCGTCCACATGTTGAACGTACTAAATTATCCTCTCGTGTTGCTATTTGTGTTTTTCTTGGGTATGAGATTGGGCAGAAAGGTTATCGTTGTTATGACCCTGTTTCGAGAAAATTGTATGTCTCTCGAAAGGTTTCCTTTATTGAGCATGTTCCTTTCTTCTCCATCCCACCCGTATCTCATAACATGTCGAGATATGATCTTCTTCAGATTGATCCGTTCAGCACTGACTCTGATATTATGCATACACCTGCTACTTCTCCTAACATTTCTTGCAGGTCTCATAACATAGACACCACCTCCCCCCTACGACTGCCCATGATCATCTTGTGATTGCGGATCCAAATCCACCCCATGAAATTGCTGATCCAGATCCACCTCGCTACCCTAGACGAGCACGTCGATCCACCCAGGTTTCTGATTTTGATTACTCTTGCTATTCTCCATCATTTGCTTCATTTCTTGTCAATATTGATTCTGTTTGTGAGCCCACATCCTACTCTGAGGCAGCACGTGATCCTCTTTGGCAAGAGGCTATGAAAGAAGAATTGTCTGCTTTGAACAAGACAGGTACTTGGGATTTGGTCTTTCCACCTTCTGGTAAGAAGGTTATTGGTTGTCGATGGGTGTACAAAATCAAAAGGCGGTCTGATTCTTCTATTGAGCGATATAAAGCCCGCTTAGTTGCTAAGGGGTTTGCTCAAGAGTATGGCATGGATTATGAGGAGACTTTTGCCCCAATAGCTAAGATGACCACAGTTCGAGTTCACATTGCAGTTGCTTCAGTCCGCCATTGGACTATCTTACAGATGGATGTTAAAAATGCATTCTTGAATGGGGATCTTAAGGAGGAAGTCTACATGGCACCACCACCGGGTGTTTCTCATATACCAGGGCATGTATGCAAACTTAAGAAAGCTCTGTATGGTCTCAAACAAGCCCCAAGAGCCTGGTTCGATAAGTTCTCCACTGTTGTGTTATCACTTGGATTTTCTCAGAGTACTAACAACTCGGCATTATTTGTTAGATCCTCTCCTGCGGGTTATATCTTACTCTTGTTATATGTTGATGATATGATCATTACAGGTGATGATGTCCATGGTATTTCACTACTGAAGGATACTTTGTCTCGTCAGTTTGAGATGAAAGATTTGGGTTATCTTCGCCACTTTTTGGGTATTGAGGTTGCTTATTCTGATAAGGGATATCTACTTTCTCAGTTTAAGTACACTAAGGATATTCTTGAACAAGCACGCCTCACAGATACACGTAGTGTTGACTCTCCTCTTGAGGTCAATGTTCGTTACACCCCTACTGACGGGGAACCTCTCAGTGATCCCACTTTGTATCGGTCTATTGTGGGCAGTTTGGTTTACCTTACCATTACACGTCCCGATATTGCATATGTTGTTCACATTGTCAGCCAGTTTGTTTGTGCTCCCACCTCTGTTCATTGGGCCGCAGTCATGCGTATTCTTCGTTACCTGAGGGGAACACTTTATCAAAGTGTCCTGTTTCCGTCTACTTCAGATTTGGAGCTTCGTGTGTTCTCTGATGCTGATTGGGCGAGTGATCAAACTGATCGTAAATCCACTACTGGTTACTGTATTTTCATAGGAGATTCACTGATTTCATGGAAAAGCAAGAAACAAGATGTTGTTTCTCGCTCTTCTACTGAGGCAGAGTATCGTGCTATGGCTTCTACTACCTGTGAGATTGTATGGTTACGATGGTTGTTAGCTGATATGGGCGTATCTTGCAATGATCCAACACCAATGTATTGTGATAATAAGAGTGCTATTCATATTGCGCACAACACTGTCTTTCATGAACGGACCAAACACATTGAGATTGATTGTCATATTACACGTTATCATCTGGAGAAAGGGACTTTCACTTTGCCTTTTGTATCATCTTCGATGCAACTTGCAGATTTCTTTACAAAGGCACACACTCTCCAGCGTCACCGGTTCTTTCTTAGCAAACTCTCAATGTTACTCACGTCACCATTGCGAGTTTGAGAGGGGATGTTAGCATTTGATATATTAGCCTTTTGTATTGTTGTTTCCTTTCCTTTTGTTTGCTTATGTTTGTCCCACACCGTAAGTGTTTACTCCCTCCCCCTCTTTCCTTATCTATAAATAGGGTCTTTGGCCTCCAAATAATGTAAGCTTCCATTTTATGATATAATATTTATTCTATTAAATATTATCCATGTATGATTATATATAATCTAACAATTTTTAAGTGCGAGAAAACTCACATCACCCTACGTAAGAAGACGTCGTTCAAAAAATTGACAATTGGGTATGCATACTCAATATGTTTATCTTCATCAACAAGACCTTTATCCAAAATGTCTCGATTACCCATAGAAGAGAGTAAGAGACTAGATTTTTTTTTGAATTCTTTGATTAAAATTTGAGAGGGTAATTTCACACCATGAGACATAGTAGTTTGAAAGAAATCTTTAATATTTGTTATTGAAGCGTCGGTTGTTAGCTCAGAGCAATAGAGGTCCTAAGTAGAATTCAACCCTAGAGCTTTCTCAACAGATGCATAATGCTCAACATCAATTTGTAACAAAGTTCTTGAAATAGAAAATTCACTATGATGCGAGTGATCCTCATAAAAAAGTCTCCATCAAAGTTGGAGTGGATGTTAACTGACAAACCCTCACATGAAGATGGTTCAATCACTCGAGTTGTGTGCTTGGCTGCAATTTATTTTATTAAGGTAAGTCCTCGTGTAATCCCTGACAGAAAAAGGTTAAACCTACATTCATTCCCCCCCTCTGGTATAAATAAAAAGTCACAACCTTTTTCAATGATGCGGGGTAAACCACCAAACAAATTAGCATCATAAAGTATAGAGAGGGAATTCTTCAAATCAAACCTAGTGCAACACCAATCATCATAAAGACGTTTGGGATTGGAGCCGTTCAGCCGAGTAACCCACCCTCTTTTAATCAAGATTAACCGCAGACGTAATTTCATGCTTTCATTCAGATATATGAGTATTGTTGCAATCAAAAATAGAAAAGCGGAAAGATTCACTTTCAATTAATAAAATATCAAAACCATATGAGGGATGCAAAAAATCTCTTTGTCCCTAACAGTACGAGTCTAAATATCTTGTCCGTTTTCATGCCATAGATCCTTCTCGAAATGGGGAAAAGTCCCGCCGAACCCACACTAGTCAACCATGACCTCGCTGCCCTCGCCTAGAGAAAAAGAAGTGCCTCCCCTCAAATCTAAATTTGAACAGGCCTTGTACGGATGCAAGAATGACATCCCCCCTAATTTAAACTGGTGTCGCGGCCCGTGCAACCATTTCATCATTTTTGTCTATATCAGGTGATTCCAAATTCGCAAACTAATCATGCACTCCCAACGACCCACTGCAGATGTCAAAAAATTGAGAAAAGTAAACTTGAGTCGTTTCAAAAACCCACTAAGTTTCAGTCGCTGGTCTATACACCACTACACACAAGATTGGCATGTCGAAAAACCCAAACTGGTAAGGACCCATACTATCCCGAGAAATACAATGACCATCGACTTTCGTTTAGATGAGTGTCATATGTATTATAAATATAATTACAAATACAATCTCTATTATAAACAGACAAGAGAAAAAAATCAACGAATACTTTCATCGAGAGAACTATTTTTGAGCACAAATGAGTAAAATAAAATGACCATTGTCTTTTGTTTAGATGTGCAGATGTGACGTGGCTTTTGTTTAGATCAATAGATGTGCACATGTGTCTTGGATTTTGTTTAGATGTGCAGATGTCCCATGAAATTAGGCAGTTCGTATACCGTGGGATCATCCCACGGTAAACACCATGCTCCACACACAAAACGACATAGTATTAATCAATTTAAAAAAAACCGCGTGAACAATACCTTTTTTTTCGCCCCAGTATCATGAACGATGTTAGTCATGTAACTTGTGCATAATTAGATGTAACTCGTGTTGCTACAAATGTAACTTCAGTTAACAACAAATGTAACTTGTGCCCTGAAATGTAACTCATGTTTAATGGAAAAAAGGAGTCTAATTGTCCAATTATTTTACATAAATACTGCATATGTTTTGTTTATAGTATTAGGTCCATTAAAATGATTTTTAATAAGAAAATCATTTTTGATGGAATAACAGAGGTTTATTTTGTTGTGTAACTCGCATTGTTTTGTGGTGTAACTCGCAGTATGTCAAATGTAAATCAAGATGTAACTTATTGAGAAAAATTGAAATGAAATCGTGTAATACAAAATGTAACTTTAGTCAAAATGAAATGTAATTCTAGTGTAAGTGAAATGTAATTCTTTTTTCATTCTATCCCCATATTCTGAGAGGATGT